AAAAGGAGCAAAAAAAAAAAAACACCCACTCGTATATTCAAAACATGTTAAATAAACGAAGAAGAAGAAGAAGAAGAATACGTACACAAATTGAAGATGATGCTTTTCAGTTTTCTGGCAAAATTACAGCTGCAGCAAGAGTGGTGAAGAGAGAAATACAAAAGAAAAAAAAAATGAAGAAGAGCTTGTGTGGGAAATGAAGGAGTGGTTGGTTGAGTGTAAGAATGGAGAAACAAGAGCAATTGGTATTGAAAAGAGAGAAGTGAAAAAAAACTAATAATAAAAATAAAAATTGGTGAAGCATTTTCTCGACACGTGTCCTGACATTCTTTTACTCTTTTATGTGTAGGAAAAGTCAAATGGTCAAAAGTCAACAAATTAGTGAGGCACTAGTCAACTTCAACAATATCATTTATTTTAATTGTTACTATTTACTTATCAGTAAATTGTTTAATCATAGCCAAAGATGCATTCTAGATTTGTCCCTACTTTGTGATTCATTAGATTGAACGGTAGATCTTGAAGCTTATTTTTGTGCCACTTCTTTTGAAACCAGAACACACTTTTTATCTACTAGTTTTGCCAAAATTTAAGATCTTCATTAAATGTATATTCCTAAATAGAAGATAATGTAATAAATGTAAATCACGCCCAAAATTCTAGTGAAAATGATGAGTATTTCTACCTGCATATTGTCCAATCAAAAAATTTCAAATGAAAATATGTAAAGATGAAAAATTGGGGGAAAAATTGATTTGGATCTTCGGGACCCAACAAACCGATGTAGTATCGAAGATTGGGGCCAAATTTAGCAGGTTATTCAAATCCGAATTCAAGAAATTAAAACTCATAAAAGATTGAATTCAATATAGGAGCATGGTCGGGAAGCACAATACTAAGGTAAAAGCGGTCGAGCTATCTAAGGACCCAACGTCGAAAAAACCATCCTTAGTTGAATAATGAATCTTTAACTCTAAAAACCAAACTGGCTTGTCATGTGAGAATGTAAAAAAAGAAATCTGCCCTATACCATAACATTCAATATATATTTATGTCTTCTTGTGTATCCCCAGCCATTCCCATTTTATAACAACAGCCTTTTACGGAGCCAATCAAGAAAGTTTTCTTCATTTTTCGTTTCTCCCCATCCTATTCTAGTATTTCATAGGACTCGACTTCTTTTCTTTCTTAATACTGTACAATATCCATATCATATTACCTATGAGCCATCCTCGGAATGCAAAGTTCAAAATCCATGGCTACTGAAGATAACACTAGTCTTCGTGTTGCCTCATTTTCTTGTTACCTTGACAGTACTGCTAAAGAAAACTTGGTGCAAATCTCAGCTAAAGATACTAAGATGTTACCATTTAGTACCCCTAGCCAAGATAGCCTTGCAAGTCTCAGGGTGGACTCATTTTCTTATCTCAACGCCGCTGGAGAGAATTTTGTTTTTAAGGTCCCAGGGCCAGTACAGGATCCAGCTCCGGCTTTCAGTTTCCCTCAAGAGACACTATGTCCAATAAATATCGGAAGAACCAAGAGTAAAGACGGTGAAATTGATGTATTTGGGGCTGACAAGTATTTCAACGCGAAACTGGATCGTAAGGTCAGAGAGGAGCCAACAGCAGGATCGAGAAACCCAAGTGTTTGTTCTCAACAAAGCGGCACGAGCCAAAACGCAGTGCTGCAGAATAGGCGCAGAATTGAATCTCAAACAAAGCAAAAAAAGCCATTTGGGTGGAGATTTTTTACTTATCTTGTTTGCCAGGGACCTTGTTTCAATAAGAAATCTTTTCATGTTAATGAAAATTTGGCGCCTGGAACAATCTGTGAATCAAAACCTACTCGAACTAGATCAAAAAGGGTTGACCATTTTGCAATCCAGGTTCCCAATTCCGAGGCAGAAAATATGATAGTCGAGGAGGAAGAGTTGAAGGAACAAAAACCAGATAAGCACCGGAGATCACTTGATGTGTTTGGCTCGTGCAGCTCGTCTATAAAAGGAGACGTTGCAAGGAACCTGGAGAGGAAACTCTCCATGTTAACTTGGGATGCTATCCCAATATCAGGCCAGAATCTTACAATTTGTACCCCTGGAAATACTACAATTTGTGAGGATATGGCTAGTGATGCTAGTTCTGATTTGTTCGAAATTGAAAATATATCAAGCACAGTTTATTCGAAGTTAAAAGTTGAATCTGATCAAGATCATTTGTCGAGTGGTATGAGTCTGTGTCCAACAATGCAGTATGCGCCAAGTGAGGCCAGTATCGAGTGGAGTGTTGTCACAGCAAGTGCTGCAGATTATTCTTCAGTTATCTCAGATTATGATGAGAAAAAAGTTAGTCGTGCCACTTGATTTGACTTGGCCTCACTCGACTGATTATGAAATCTCCGTCCAAAAAGAAAAAGAAAAAGAACTTGAATCTGTATGCGCAGGTTTGAAACACTATGGTGGCAAAATATTGAAAACGATACATCAGGAAAATCAGAGGGCTATAATGAAAGATAATAAGCAAGAAATTATGCATATTGATTTCCATTCATGAGATTGAGGGGTTTGATGAATAATGTTCAAGTCAGCAGATTGTATGATTTCTTTCATAAATTTTTCTATCCTCATGGAGACTGTATGATAGCAAATTGTTACATGTTTTTTCTTAATTAATAATGTTTTTGGTTGAACAACGTTGTCTAAAGGCATAAATCGTTACTTGTCGATGAAATACTTAATTATTGAATTATGTATTTGACCGGACTACTCAAATGTAGCATGAACTCATTTTTTAAATCAAAATTTTTGATACGTCCACAATTTTCATAACAACGAAACTTGAATTCAAAAATTCAAAAATAATCTAAAAGCAGTTCGTTAAACACATTATATATATAATAAGTCTGATTATAGATTTTAAAAAAAAAAACAATGAGAGAGAGAGAGAGAGAAATTAAAAACCTTTTAAAACAAGAATCCACCGGTTTGCCTCAAATTTTATTTTTATTTTCATTTTTTTTATTAACCAATAACTTTTGACATTTTATTTTTTGGGGGTTTTACGTGAAAGGAACTATACCATCCTTCGCACACAACCACATTATGCTCAATCCTAAATTTGCTCCAGAAATTTTGGTGGCAACATTAATTCTTCACCTGTCTAAACACACAACTCACTTTCACAAAACAATACTAAATATTGGCTAGGTTTACAACTCTTGTGACAAATACACTTTCACATTCCTCAATTTAATTCACGACTTACCCGTTTATGTGCAAGTTGAACTCGTTTTTTCATTAAACGTCTGTGTAAAATATTTATGAATAGGTGGTTGTTTGAATTGAATTGAACTCAAAACATGAGGCGGTTCAGCGAAGGAGTTGTACAAGAGATAATTAATGAAGAAATATGCAATAATTCAATTTTGATGATTTTTGTCCCTAATACTTGCTTTTCGTTACTAGCAAGCACTCCGTGATGAGGAGTTGTTTAAATTTTAGATAAAAACGCAATTATTTTTTGATATGTTATTTACAAAACTAATAAAATCAAACTCAAATTTCTTAATATTTTTCTGAGTTAACATTACTGAAAACCGATTCTACAGCTCTAACGAAAGTAAGATACCAACTGGTCAATGAAATTAAATTTAAAAAAAATAAAATAAAATCAAAATGCAATTTCAGTTTTTGTCGGGTGAGGTGGGCTGGTCTGGTCTGGGCTTGCAGGGTATAGTATAAGTGAGACGTCTCTATGAAAAAGAATGTCTTTAAGGGACCATTAGTATAGGTTGGATATCAACATCATATTCAAGTATGAAAGTTTCAATCGAGAAATTTAAGTAGCTAGTTGTTATGGACCACTTTGGAAAAATCAATGTAGACAATTGGATTTATGTCTAGAGAATTTTAGCTCAGAAGCTTGTGGATATGAATCTTTGCAATGCATGAAACAAGAGGAGGCTTTTAGGTTAATTTAGTAAGAACAAATGAGGTAAATATAGATGAGTAGATCTGGGACACAAATTTACAATGGGGTGTATCGGATTTAACTAAGTGTGTTTAAAATTATTATAGCATGCTGCAATCTGTGTTGGGCGTCAAGTACCCGTTTAAAATATATAGTTTGTGTATTGCGTTTCAGGAAAAACTACGTGTTACTGAAGGAATGCGAAATTAAATCTAAGATCCTTGTTCTTGAGTAAATCATTTTTAATTCAAAAGAGTGCATAAAAAAAGGGGGGGGGGGGGGGGGTTTTTTGGGGGGGAAAATTGGAAAAAAATTTTTTAAAGAAG